GCAGAGCTGCAGCAGCGCATGTATCTGCAGCCAGTGGGTTCTGCAGCAGCAGCACGCAGAGCTGCAGCAGCGCATGTATGTGCAGCCAGTGGGTTCTGCAGCAGCAGCATGCAGAGCCACTGCAGCGGTGCCAGGATCTGCAGCCAGCAGGATGCACGGCAGCCGCACGCAGAGCTGCAGTGGTGCAAGCCCATGTGTGCAGGGCGCTGGCACAGGCCCGCTCCTCTCGCCCGCCTGCGCCGCACCCCGTGCCACGCTCGGTGCCACAGGGGCTCCAGTGGGACAGGAGCTGCGCGAGCCGGGGACGGCGCCGCTCAGACGGGACCGGCTGCAAGCGGCACCCGGGGCCAGGACAGCAGGAGCTCGGCCGGGGCCGGGGCTGCGGGTGCCGCTCTTGGCAGCGCCTGCTGCGGAGCGGCCCAGATTGCGCCGTGGTGCTCGGCCCCAAGGGGGTTTTATGCGAAATGACACACAATATAAATGACTGTTGTAAACAGAGAGTTTAATAAAGGGCTGCGTGCGAATTTACAGCCTCCCCAAGGATAATTAAAATTATTTATCTACTTACCTAGCTAGCCACCGGAGCAGTCTATTAATTATTATCTATTATAGCCGGCTGCTTTGCATGCTGCTGGGTGCAGCCCAGGAGCTGCAGTGGGGCCGCGCGCTCTGGCCGATGCCGCTCGCCCGCCCGTGTGCTCCGGGCTGCAACGCCTGGCACGGAGGCGTGCGGCTCCTTCCTGTTGCTCAATATTGCTGCCGTTTATCGGCTCCATAAACCCCTTGGATGCTGCCAGGATGTCCAGCTTGGCTGCGAGGCCCCGGCTGCACGGGGGCGCTGCATTGGTGCTGCACTGGGGCTGCACCGCTGCAAAGCTTGTCAGGAGCAGAGGCTGCAGCAGGTTGCGGCCACAGTGCCCGGGGAGCTGTCAGCTCCCACCAGCGCAGCCATTAATCACGGCAGCAATTGCAGGGCTGCCCCGCACGGCTCCGTGGCACGGACGCGGCGGTGAGCACCGAGCTGCAGCCCCTTGCAGCTGCAGCAGCACCTGCAGCCCCTTGCAGCGGCTGCGCCACCCGGGAGGCTGCAGGGCCGCCCCGCGGCTGCTCCAAGCGCTGACCCCAAGGGTATTTACGGTCCGTTCGCTCCCAGATCCCGGCTGGCGGCGGGGCCGCTTGCGCTGCGTTACGGGGAGCTTGGGCAGCACCGCCGTCATGTCCAGCTTGCAGGCTGCAGAGGAGCCGCCCGCGGGACACTGCAGCCGCTTGCAGGACAGCGCGGCCAGGAGCGCCGCTCCAGCTGTCCTGGAAACCCACCACGTTCCTCCTCACTGCTGGGGTGGCCGCCGGGGACCCCCTGGTGCCGCTCCCCACACCCTGCGCCGTCCCGTGCGCCCACAGGTGACGAGCACAGCGACGTCGATGCCCCTTGGCTCACCCAGCGCCAGCCCCGTGGGGCCTCTGCCCCAGGCGGTGCCTTCGCTACTGCCGTCCTGTCGATCAAGCTCTGACAGACTGCGGGAATCATTCAAAACGGTGCCCGAGGGCGCTGCGGAGCTCCCGGCCGGAGCCGAGCGCTGCAGCCGCAGCAGGTGGGATGCGGTGGCCCCGGGCACAGCGGAGACCGCAGCGCAGCCCCACGCACGAACCCCGGCGCTTTAAACAAGGCTCCAAAACACTGAAACTCGGCATTGAAGATGCTCGCAGCAAGCACAGCCTTCCCATTGCAGCACAGCCGGGATCAGCCCCTGGCCAGGCCTGCATCCAGCAGGGATACGGGGACACGGGGACAGCCCAGCGCAGCCTGCTCCCAGCTGCCAGGCAGGATTACATGCAATGGAACCCGTGCGCTTCCCTGCCCTCCTTGTGCATCCCAGGTTTCGGGCCCTTGCTTTATCAGTTTTTATCCTGTATAATATTCATCACGCTGGTTTATTTATGGGGCCCCTCTTCGGGAAGGGATTTTTCAGGCCTGGTGAATAAAACATCAGTGTTCGCTGCTTGTCGGAGCGAATGCGGCTCCTCTGATGTCAGCCTGACTAACGGCCTTTGCTTTTCTCCAACGACTGCACTTTGAGGGAAATTTATTTGTATTTGGGTCCGTGCTGGTTGGGGAGATGCGAATTCTGCTCCCTGCAGAATAAATGAAGCCGGCTTTGCGGGAAGTGGCGGGAAGGGGAGCGGAAGGGCTGGGCCGGGCGCTGCATCCCGGGGACAGCTCCATGCGGCCGCGGCGCCGGAGAGCCCGATCGAGCCCCGTGCGGCACCGGGAGCCGCCGGCTCCACGCTGGGAGCGGAGGGTCTGCAGAGCCTGGGATGCCAAAGCTGCCGTGCCAGCGGCTCCTGCCCTGCGGCGCCTGGGAGCAGGGCCATGCGCTCCCTCCCGCTTCCCGCGATTCCCTGGGAAGTGCACACGGGATCAGGGCCATGCGCTCCCTCCCGCTTCCCGGGATTCCCT